TCACTTTGCTTTCAAAATGGTCTGGACATCTAATTTTAATGGATTTTAAACTTGACTCATTTATCAAAGACTATATAGCTGACTGCATTTCTGGGATACAAGATTTAGTTTTATCCAGCTGTTCAAACCATGAAAAAAAATGCAATTGAACTAAACATGTACTCCATGTCAGCCCAATCAATATTCAATATTCACAACAGACCCTTAAGTATCCCTAAAAGAGCTGTCAGGAAGCAACAGTAGAGACCTGCTGCCCTTTCATGAGGTAAGTACCTTTCCCAGATCAAAACTTATTCTGTCAGAATCTGCTTGTATGCCAAGACTGTAGTGCAAAGAACTCCTCAATAATTCACACAAAAGCCACTGAAGCATGGCTGTGAGCTAATGGACAATTAACTACAGCAATCTACAAAATGCAGGTATGGGAATTTAAATTCTTATAAATGATGGATTATGCACCTGATTACAAAATTACATCAAGAATTTACGTAATTCCTGCATTAAATCTGGTATTCTACATGATATACACGAAAGTGAAACTTACTTGAACAAACATGGCTTTTCACATACTTTTAAGAAATGATAAACCCCATGCAATTGGTTGATAAAATGTACTTATGCACATATTCCAGTATCCATTCCAGTAACTCATTTGTCCATGTAGACCTGTAGTATCCTTTGACCATGCTTTTGCTGATACACCAATGTAGAATGCACGTCAAAATTTGCGTTAGAGGAAAGAGCACTTCCGTATACTACAGTTCTGTTCAGCATGCCTATTTCAGCTCTTCACTGCTCAAAGAGATTTGATAGGTGGCACTTGTGCTGTGTTAGATGTTAGTTGCATCATTTAGTTTTTTCCCAGTTTAATAACAATATTTTTTTTAAATATAACATATTTCAAGAAATACATATAAAATCTTAAATAAATAGCCTAGCTACCATTTTAAAATGTAACATGGTTGTACATGTTTTTTTTTCTAAAATAACACTTGCATGCAATAAATGCGATTACATGCCATAAATGGCAACTGGTTCCATAGGTTGAAAGCTCATACATTAGACCACTATGTATGATACTACGAAGAACAGTACAATAACATCCATGTATTCAAAACCTTTTTTAAAAAAATTCACTTAATATAGTATCATGTAATGAAAGGGACATTTTGGTAGTTGAAAATATAAAATCGGATATATTTTATAAACATGATTAACAATATTCATTTATGAATATAATTAGGATATATTTATATACAATAGCTAGGTATACGGTAGGTATTATATAGGTAATAGGTAGGTAACACACGGGTAATAGGTAGGAAGATCACACGAAAACAAGTCTTTCTCACATCTGAAGAAGGCTCCACAACTCAAACATTGTGTTTGGATGCATGGAATAAACCTACAGTATTACTTGTTCCTTTGCAGCCTATGCATGGTGATGCAGCTACCCGGCTGAACTACTTATACTGAACTACTTATACACCTGAAGAAGGCTCCACGGCCGAAACGTTGTGTTCTCTTTCTTCTTTTTTTCAGCATGGAATAAACCTATTACTTGTTACTTATACATTTGTTTGTCTTAAATGGGATTTTAATTATATCTATTTTGTGTTATTGCACAATCAAAAGGAATAGTACCCAATTTGCTCAAAATAAGATTTTTTTTTTCATTTTGAATGTGACCTCCTCCAGCAGGGCTCAACCTCTGCCTTTTATTCCTGAGGCTCCCCCTTTGTAACCTCCCATAAGAAACATAAAGGTACCTTGTTCTTTTGCCTGTACAGGTATTTCCACCTAATAAATACATATTACACCAAAAGCACAAAGCACAAAACATACAGTATTTCAGTCCCCCATAAAATATTTTTTAATATATCTTTCTTTATTAAAAAAGAAACTGCATAACCAATTTTTCAAACCGCTTCTTAAATCTCGGCAACAAAACAAATTAATTGACAGAATTGTCAAATTTTTCAAATTTTGAATTAAGCACAAAATTCTGAACTTCGTGAAAGTACTGTATGGTCACCATATTGTTGCAAAACTGCTGGTCTCACCATGAGTGACAGTGAGAGTTCGCAAGAATTGTGATTTAACCCTTCCTTTCCTGCTTGCTAGTCACTGTAATCACTAATGTGAGTGAATAACCACAGGTTGTGCATAAGACACTTCACTGCAGAAATGATCCAGCATGATCTGAATGCAGAGTTAATGAGTAAATAGTTCTTGTCGGCAAAACCATCTTGTAGTTGACAGTAATATTGCTATTGGATTAAAAGAGGTGTATTCACAAGCCTTTTTGTTTACAATATACAGCAGGGCCGCATCACTGCACCAGAAGTTGAATTGCTCTAAATTGCAGAAGGTGATAGCATACAGCACTGTACCTGGAAATTTTGTCTCTTTTGTGATTGTTACACATTACTGTGTAGATTTTACTTACATTGTGGTTTGAAATGCACTTATCAGTGCCAATTATTTTTAACCCCAAAATATAAAAAATGCATTGCCATTCCCCTTTAGAAACAATATTATTTGAATAAATGCTTTGAAAACACTGGTGTTACCAAAGTGATGGGGAGACCAACTCCCCTCCAATCCGGAAACAGGCCGGTGGCCATTTGATGGCTGTTTCCAAAGGGTTTAAATTTGTCCCTGAACCTGAATATAGTTTTGAGTGTAATAACAAGTAATGTGAAGCCAATGGGTAGCTGCAAATACCATTTCCCATTGTGTTTTTTATCTGGCTTACTGCATAATAAGAAACAAAAAGGTAAGTACCGTACTAAATTAGTTTGTTTTTTCCTTTGTTTCAGAGGCTTGCAACACACTGCAGGCTGTGGGATGGGTTGCATCACAGTGATCAAGAAAAGCCGACATTCTAAATACCTTTTTTAAATGAAATATTTTAATTAAGTGATTTGGATTTTAATTATATATTTTGGGATTTTTTAGTAGCATTTATTAGTTTGACTATTAGTTTAAAATATGTAAAATTATTTTTTACATGCACACCTAACCTTGACTGACAACACACCAGTTCTCTGATATAAATATTACCCTTTTTGCCCACCTTTGTCGCTTAGAGTATTTGTCATCTCTGTTTCCTTCAGTCTCCTTTCTTGTGTTGTCTTTCGGTGCCACGTCTTGCTTTATAGCAGAATTTACTCTTTAGCTTCACTGATATTAATTGAGCAGCTGACCGGAGATATTTTAACTTGTCAACACTTCCAAGAGCGTCACACAAATCATAGTACTGTACAGTACATGTATTCTAGTTTGGACAAATGTTTTTAATCTTCCAAACAATTCTAACATACTTTACACACATGTGCATGGAAATAGAATAAGAATAATGCAAAATATAATAAAATGTTAAATTAAGGGGGGTTAAGAAAATAGAGATGACCAAAATACAGAGCTGGATGATCAATAATTAAAATTAAATACTGTAAATTATTCTACTTATGAACTAAGTATCTCGGAAGTCTACATCCTTATAAATCAGTAAAAACAGATTTTGTGCTGCTACTCTGTATTAAAAAATCCAACATAACGCCACTAGAGAGATTAACCTGCATCCTTAATAAAACCAAATACAACCCTGACCTCCCTATTCTCACTACTGGGACCCTATCTCCCGATTTCTAAAAAATGTCTCCAGGAAGGATTAGAAATTAGAGTTTTCTAAAATAACAAATGCCAGGCTCTCTTAAACAAGGATCAATTAATTAATCTCATCTCTAAGGATGATTTAAAAAGGCTCCTTATACTGTATGTGGCATGTGTCTTCCTCTCTCTATCTCTTTCTTGTATTGTTCCTCCTTCTCCTTCTCTTCTCTCTCCTGCTTCTGCCTACCTGTGTTTTTATCTAGGGTTTCTCACCGACGAAGATTCTTAATGAATTGTTAAGGTACAGTAAACCAGATGATTCCTTTTGATCAATGTGTCTCAGACACCCTACAGCTCAGCAAACTCCCCGTCTTTCGACTCCCTGCAGAGAACTGCAAATACTGACCCTCATTAACCTTTGTTTCTACAATTCGAGAAACCTTAACTGCCACTTCCATAGCAATAATAGTAATAATATATATGAGTTAATATTGTAACTCATCCCTGACCCTGAATCTGTACCAAACAGGCACTGCTTTTGACTTAACAGATTGAATTCCCCAGACAAGTTAATTCACATTTACTTTGTACATGTACAGGGCCAGTAAAGGCATAACTCATCTTTGGTTCTCATTGCATTAAGTAAAAAGCTATCTTTTGAAGATGGTACAGTATATGAAATTCAACAGGTTACCAGTGCCCTAACCACTGAACATATTTATAAATACTGGGGTGAGTGTTAGGTGTTATTTGACAATATAGGAAAAAGGGCACCAGAATACTCAAGTCAAAATGAAACAAAATCATGCATTACTATCTCCACATTGAGAACTGACAGAACGGTAACGGTAAAAATGTTCCTGACTTGACTAAAATACACCTTGGTCATCGACATTTAGAGCAAAATTCGAGCAGACTCAGAAATAACCCTTTGATATTTAATTTTAACACAAAATTAAGTTTGAACACCATCTACAGAAATACGAGGACAATCAGATTTTCACAGTTCTTGCAAGAAACCTAGTACCATGGCCTCAGTGTTAGCATTGTTCCATTGTAAATAATATTGTAGTATTTTTATATTGAAAGTTTGACATCTCATACGTGAGATGAATACATCAGGTCATAGGTACAGAGATAACTATGTTATTGCATACACAAGTATGTACAGTATATGCTGCATATTTTGTACATTTAGTCAAGAGTGGCACCAGAGGACAAACCCAGTAGCAGCACCCAATCTTTAAATTCTGTTTGTGGTTATTGTGTAACATATTTTTTTAATTCTTATAACATTTCTTAGAAATGTTTGCGATTCAAAACTGACTATCTATAATTCATCTATAAAATGTAAGAGCACATTTTATTGGACAGCACCCTACCTTGGTTAGAGCTGTTGGATGGGAAGCGATCAGACTTTTTCAAGGTCCGAAAATGAATTCTTTTGCTGGCTTGGCTTTCCCCATAAAGTCCAATGGATTGGACCTGGATAATGTAGTCTGTTTCTTCATCTAGGTCCCAGAGGACACAAGCACGATTTGTGGTATTAACTTCCCTGATGAACCTTTGCATCTGCCCATCCTGTCTCTGCAAAAGAGCAAATTATGGATGATTAGAATCTGAAATATTTGTCTTCAGTGTTTCCATGCAGAGACCTGACGGAGGTCATAAAATGTAAATGTAAAACATAAACATAGAAAACAAGTAGTGTACACAACTGTAAATGTAAATGAAACAGGTAAAATAAACTTGGCTTTCATAAGGAAATTCCTGAAATGCTATGTAGAATAGCCAAAAATAAAATGGGCCAGATGTAAATTTTTTAATTTTGCTTATAAGAAATGAAACAATAAGGCAAACACAATGATCCTACTCACTTCACAACAGTGCATATAAAAGAAATCCAGACCTTGGAAATTAGCAAAATGCTTAACTAATACCTTAGTCATGTGGTTAAGATTCAAAATCAGTAAATTGCAATTGTATTTCTGTTTCTCATTTATCCTATAAGTAATTTAGAATAAAGCGATCCCCCCAAAATATTTTGTTTTTTATTAGACGCTGTTTAAGAACATGCTTATTACTCAGTAAACTGTGCTTCACGAATGTTCTTTAACACTAGATGACTTTGAGGTCTTTTAAAATTATTTATCTTTGTCAGAATCATAAAAAACATAACATCATTCCACTTGCTTGAGGCAAGACCCTCATATATTTTTGATGGATCCTAGAGAATCAACTATTCAATTCAGCTGGTATTAGATTGCTATTATTGTTTTTCCAAGCTTTCTAAAGCTGCTCTTTCTTACTTACTGTAACTGTTCGATTTTCTTTACCAGTCCTACAATTCCCTTATGCTTTCATTTTTCTTTCTCACAAATTCTCCTACCTCAGCCTTGAATTCCTTGAATTTGCCCCCCCCACAAATTATTCTATACTGAAGTCTATATATGTTAACATTATTTCTCTTTTTGATTCACCATGCAGTTGTTTGATTTCTCTGACAGTTTGAAAACATCCTTTAAAGGTGTGTAAGGATTTTTATATGAAGCAACCCCATCACTTAATTTCATATGGGATTCCCTTTTCCTGTTTTCTGGCACGATTTTGGCTAAAGCATTAAATTTATGAAAGGCAAGAATAAAAATATTCATTTTATAATGTCCAATGTCCTGTACATACTGTAAGCCACGCTTGAGAAGAACAGATAAATGGAATGTAATTGTCATTAAAGGTTATTCAACACTGCACTCTGAATCTGTCTGGAGGGAAAATGATAAATGAAAACATTTTAGGTGGCTATACATTGCAGCCTTTCTCCGAGATATTTGGAGTCATCAATTGTTTTTCTTTAAGACTTGCAATGTATCCTGCAGCTGCTCAGGAGAGAATTAGGTAGGTGGATATGCTCTTCCAATATGCCTGCCTGCGGAGTCAATTGGTATTTGACAAGCTGCAAGCTGAATAGTGCCTGACAGAAGAAATAGCATAGACTGGACGACTCTCACTGATGTCATGGCAAGCCAACAGGTGCTCAGCAAACCATAGGAATCTCTGTGCTCCAGCTTAAGTAATCATGGTTAGAATAAGCTAATGATATAACCTATGCTCAAAATAACAACCTCTGGAGTAAGAATAATGGAGTAAGATTTAACACAAGTTGTAGCAGGAAGGATTATCATGATGCTTAGAAATAAGTTAAGAAACACCTTAGGTCTGTGTCTGAAATGGGCTTTCTGATATACATCATGTGCTGATGCTAACACAGTCAGGGATTTCATAAATGTAATTGACACCCTTGTCTGCTACTAAGGTGGGGCAGACCCTAGCCGGAGGTCACCTGTCAAACATTCAAAAATGACTAACCAATGAGGAGCTCACAGGGGGGAGAAAGACGTTACACCTGATGACATCTATTTGCTTTCTGTAATGCTACTGACGTGTAAGTCTTCACTTCACCAGTCTTAAACCAAATGAACTAGGTGAAAATGAGAAAAGGTTATGCCCCTATAAATATGCTCTTGGATATTATCACTTGGATATTAACAGCTGCAGAGACCACGTGCAGCTGTTAAAATAAAAGATTGTTTTCACAGTAAGAGATTAAAGACAGATCAGAAACTTCTAATTGTTTGAGGTACTTATTTGCTTTCCATGGTGATTTGCTTTGGTCCCACTACTGCTCCTGATATAGACTCCTGTATAGGAACAAGTAATAGGTTTATTCCATGCTGAAAAGAGATGAAAGAAAACACAACGTTTCGGCGGTGGGGCCTTCTTCAGGTGTGAGGGTGCTCATGGGATAAACCTTTTACGTGTTCCTTTGCAGCTTACGCATGCTGACGCAGCGCCCCACCTAGATTCCTGTATAGTCTGTAAATGTTACATTTTAAAATTATACAAAATTAAGTTTAAAACTTTAAACGTTCAAAAATTACAAAGAACAGATATACGACAAGACAGACATATGAAGTTTACAAATGCAAAAACCATTAATGTAGGCAGCAGAAGTCTCTTGTCCTCTAGGCTTTTCCTTCATTTGTTGCTCACAGTAAAGCATGATTGTCTTCCACAGAACTGAAGATGATTGGTATGACCTACATGGAATCTGAACACATAAGCAGGATAATCACGTCATCTGCTCATCCTGCTCCCATCACCTTTTCAAGTTGCAGAAACATGACTCATCTTCATTCTTTGTTCTTCTGCAGGTTTAATTTTCCATAACAGCCACTGAGATATTTCAGGTGGTACAGTCTATTCTTCCTGTTCTGACATTTAAGTGTATGTTGGCAGATCCCTATTTGGTGAAAAATGAAATCCTTCTGTACTTAACCGAGTCAATGCTGTATCTTCAATAATGAGAATGAGGACGTAGGGCAGGGACCAACTACATCCCTGTAGTTTAAAGTTTATAAAAATGTTTTTATTTAATTTAAAACTTCTATCATGGACAAGAGCTCTTTAAAAAGCCAATCTTTGTTAAACATCCCAATACCACTTGTTACACTGCAGCTGGCTGAAACTGACAACCACAGGTTACTGACAGGCAGGAATCAAAATGCAAGTCTGTGATTTCCAATGCAAAGAGGGACAGAGTTTTTGTAGGTTAATAAAGAACAGGTTTCGTACTGTGTGGGAAGTGAAAGATGTTTTGGGCTGGGCAGGGTCAGGTATGGGGTCTGCACTGCAGATGGGTAGATGGAAGAAGCTGCAGACATTTCTTGGTCTGGTGCAGAATGGGAATTCAGGGTTCTCGGCTACAAAGCTAGGCTGGATATTCTCAGGTTTCAGGTTTCAGGCTGGGCGAGTCTCTCTGGTCAGTACAGTGATTTGTACTACTGGGAGTATCTCAATGTCAAAGCACTTATCCAGTGGTGTAACATGGTATAAATAGGGAGAACTGGGCTGGAAAAATAACCATTAATTGGATGACAGTGGCACCGATAAATAGCACTAGCATGTTCTGGTAGCCTCTATAAGATTTTGGTCACTCGTAGGAATGCTGCCACTTTCTGGGGCATTCGAGGCCTGTGAGCTCCCACCTGCCTTGGCATGATACTGCTGTTATATGTTCTGTTTTCCATGGAGCCACAGGGGGCAGACAAAGAATTGCATACCACTCTGGAGCTGCTAGTTCTTGATCTCGGCTCTCTAGGCAATGTAGGAAAACCAAAAATACTTGGACATATAGAATCTAAAATGTATAGATTTTAAATCAGTTGGATCTTAAACTATATACCTCATTTGAAATAATGTGCATACTATTAGATCTCCTTCTTGAATAATAATTTCTATTCTCAAATGAATGCTAGAATGGTTAAATAAACAGAATTGTATTGAATATGAACAAAGGACACTGCAAAAGGGCTTTTAATTCAGAGAAGATGCTTTAAAAACTGAAAAGGGGGATGTTTCTTCATGCAGGAAGTCACTGGGGTGTCAAACAAATAGCCCAGCTAAATGTATCCTTTCTTCTGTTCTAAGAGAAATATCTGTAGAAAAAAACTAAACAAAAAATATCTCTTGTTGAAGTTACTCTGGGTCACATCTATATTGTTTTACATTAATAATTCATGCTGCTTCTTTTCTTTTTAGTTTTTCAATACTACAAGCTACCACAACTAACAATGATAGCTGCAGCACAAACTAACTATTCCAGAACTATTTTCAAATTATTTTCATATTTACTCTGGTGGTGACTGTCCAGATTGGAATACTGTAAACAATTCTTCTATGTTGAAATGACAAAATATTGCTTAAATTATAGCTGTGCATTTGATATTTGATTTTAAATTGATATAAAATCTTCTAACAATTGATAATGCACACACCTTGGGATGTAGAAAAAAGGCTATTTTTAATTACGTACTTATCGCCTAGTTGCCTTCATGATAAAGTACAAGAAAAATGTCCCTAACATTGCGTTAATGCGTAACTTAGCTTGTCTTCTAGCTCAGCCACAAAGGACTTTAATTACTATGACAGGGTTTACCTGCTGAGAAATGGCATATCCGATGATAACATCTCCCTCAGGAACGTCCCAGGACACGGTGGCCGAATCTGCTTTCAGGTGTGTGACAGTAACATTGACAGGAGCTGGTGGCCTATCTGTCGAGTGAAAAAAAGGAGAAGATGAGTGAACGGAGAGATCTAAAGTTGGCTTCTCTATTTCCCTCTGCTCTCCAAAGACTCATCATTCTTGTTTCCAGGGATATTGAGACAAGATGACATGCTCATCTGTCAGTGGGCTACATAGCAGAATGGTTTTCCTGATCCCACTTCATTAAAAAAGAGACAGTCTAAAGTTTCTTTTCAAGAACCAAGACTTTTCAATAAAAATAGTAAAAAAAAAATCCTCGCTTTGGATTGAAGCACAAAGCAGACTTCATTTTTCCTTAGACCGGGTTACCTCTAATGTAATGCCCATTGATAAAAAGGCAGAGAAAACTAGACCAAGCAATCAAAAAGCAATACATCAGACGTCTTTTACATGCAAGGTTATGGAAACAATAATTAGTACTGAACCAGAGGATTACATACAGTGTAAGGAAATACGATCCTAGGGAACAGTCAACATGTATATTTTAAAGGAAGGTCTTACTTAACTAACATGTTTGACTTCATTGAAAAAGCAACAGTAAAGGACCATTGAACATGGAGTACAGTAAATGATATGCTGTATATACATTTTCAGAAGGCTTTTGATAAAGTTCCTCATAAAATATTAAGTCTCAAATTAAAGATGGCAGGCTTTTCGGGAAATGTGTGTGCTTAGATTGAGAACTGATTAATACAAAACAGTACAGATAAGAGGATAAACTGTATTAGTGCAGAATTTAAATCTAGGGATGATACAGTACGTTTAACTTTTATAATGGAATAGAAAGACCTCATTTAGAATATTGTGCACAGTTCTTGTCACCTAGGTAAAAAAAAAAGATATCGCTGAGCTGAAATCAGTATATTTCATATATTCCTCGCTTAAAGAATATATTTTGCATTAATACATTTAAACAACTTAACGTTTTTAGATTTTAACAGATAAGCTTATGAGGAAACTTGATCCAAGTATTACAAATCCTCAGAAGCACAGCCAAAGTCTACCCAGTGGACTTTTTCAGAATAAACAATGAAAGAGGAACCCGAGGACACAAGTGAAAACTATATTGTTATGCATTTAAAACACAAAAGGGAAACACTTCTTTATGCAAAGGGGTGTCAGAGTCAACCTAAACTATTTTTAAATGTTTATTAATGTATTAATTAATATATTATCCAGTACTTTCAGAAAAAGAAAAACTTAAAAATTTTCCATCTGTAATAGTAAGCCATAATATGTCATTATTTTTTTAAAAAACATTAAGGTGGACTTGCACAATTCAATTTCCAATCAAGCAATATTTAAACCTGAGGTAATTGTATTGATCTTAATTCCTAATTATTGTAAAAATTAAAGGTCTTAATGGGAATACAATAACAATATGACAAACTGTAACAAATTTGAATCTGATAATTTAAAAAAGTCACACAAAATTGAATTGCAGACTCTATACGAGCTCTATAAGATACCCACAAAGTAAAGCATAAAGGTTGATATTATTGGCCCAGTATAATCGTACAATAAGATTTAAATGGGCATTTTTAGTGAAGTGGGAAAAGGGATTAAGACTGAGCATTTTCCATTGCCATAAACTATTACCGTAGTTCCCAATTAAGGTCCCTTCAGGAACACTGCTGGTTTTCATTCCAGTTGAGCTGTACATCCCCAGTGCTAATTGCTATAATTGATATACTTAAATGTTTAAACATTTATTTAATTTTGGCCAGCCCTTTGTGTCAAAAATACCCTATTTAAAGGGTATTGTTTTCAACAACTTCAGTAGGACTGATGCAGTCGCTCTTCAACTTGCTTGTTGTTATTTCTAACTAAGCACTGGATCAATAGATAATGAACAAACACAGGTTGGAATGGCAATGTATCAGACACTCTTCACAGTGATTTATTTTTCTGCAGTGGTCCAATTGGTCACATTTCCATTAACGTGCCTGAATGAGGGCTGTTCTGAAACTAACAAATTGGTACAGAGTTTATCCCATCTAACCATTTGAAGAGCTGAAAGCAGATACATAATATGACAAATATGCCACAAATAGAAAACTGGAATCAATTATCCTCCAATTAAGAACTTGTTGGGAACAAAACTCAGAAGACAAAGTATTCCTCCAGGACCCGGGCTGGGAAGCAATAGACTGTCATAAAGCAATGGACATTTACTTCCAAAACTCAAAAGATTTAAATATTTAATGCTACTATTATGGAGGCATACACTGTAAACTGTTATATAGATACCCTACTTGTTAATAAATAAATAATAACCTGACATCTTATGAACAATTATCCAACTAAGAAGCCAGAAATTGCTTTCTAGAGTTAATTCATAAATTAAATGCTGTGACATCCCAGGGTTATTATTACAGGACTAACATGATCTCATAGGTTGAAGATTAGGAGTCATGTTTCACAGTAATTTCTTTGTAGTTCAAAAATAGATACAACAAACGAAATTCTATCCTCTCAGAAGAGGTATTATCTGGATACATGATTAATTGCTAGTATCAGAAGTGAACACCATCCTTATTTTTCTCATCCACTGGTTTCAGTAAAATAACACAAACAACATAATTGTGACGATACAGATTGATGGATGTACTAAAATCAGTGTTCGAATTACTGTACACCCTTTCTCCTTAATGTCAATACAACAAACACAGAGCTGTGGACAAACTTTTGCACTTTGGAAATCAAAGATTCAATAATGAAATTACTGATTGTAATTTCAATTATCACATTACAATTATGTGGTTTGAAAGGCTTAAAATGTAGACACCTAATTGTATGCTGAACATTTGAAAAAGGTCAGCAGCTGTTACATATTTTTTCAGTTTAGCAAACTTTAGAAAGCACTTTTCCACTGCTTAGGTTACTAATATTTTTAATGACAGTTGTTCAGTGTCATTAGACCCTGTGGTGACATCACACTCTGTACTAACTTTCCATTTTTCCTCAATTTTAACATTGTATGTAAAGGGACAGAACACCAGTAGTTTGTTTGGAAAAATCTAGAAGTTACTTGGTACAGTAACTCCATTCAAAAATAATAACCTGCAATTTGGTAACAGATGTATCACTAATAGACAATCTAGTCATTTTATCTATTTTTATTATAACATGTGGTCCTATCAGGATAATGTAATGGGGCATAAGATTGGGCCGTAAGATAGTAACTGTAATTATCCTGAGAAAAGGGCAGGGTCATGTACACTCAGCTTGAATTTGGAAGCAGCTCCTCCTGAGCTGTTAGGCACGGTTACTAATAGTGTTGCACTTAGTATATTTGTCCCCTGAATAAAAGTCAGTGGTAGGATGAAGCTAGCACAGGATATCCTTACAGTCTATAGACAGTGTATGACATGTTGCAATGAGGTAACACAATTAGTTCCATTAGTGTAATGGAGAAAAAAAATTCAATAAGCATTCTTTCTATCAAATTAATATTTAGTAAAGACCTTGTTATTTAGCTGTTCTATCACATAAGTAGTTAATGTTGGTAAATGCATCCTCCAGTGCGAGAACAGTAATTCAGATAATAAATGATTAAGATTCTAACATGTTAAAATAATAATGTATAGTAGAGTCCTGACATTTGTGAGGGTTCAGTGCAGAGAACCATCGGAAACAGCCAAATTTGCATAAAACCAACACGACCCCTATACATTCACCTAATATACTACAGTATATAGTATGTATAGTTTAAAGACATTAGTAATCCTCCTTTATAATGCTAATTAAAGTACTAATGCATTGGCTTTAAATTAATTTAAATAACATTGATAAACTAAAAGAAACATCATTGATCCCATACTTATTTTAATCAGATAAAAAAAAAAACAACATCAATTCCTGCGCTGCATCCAGCACAGTCTCTCTCTGCCTCCATGATCATCATACCCCACTGTAATGAAAAGGGCAATAAAACAGTCAGTGTGCCTGTAAAGTCATCTCTAGCCTGATGACACAGAACCTGGAGTGTTCATTACACTAAAACAAGACCACGTTACACTTGAAAACAAGACCATGTTGCGATGAGGATGCTAGGTAATGGGAACTTGGGTAGGTAGTGGTGAAGAGTCTTATTCATTCATTAGATTAATTTTATAATCTCAGTCTTATGAGCCATTAGCAACTTTCTACTCCTACTCCAACTACTACATCTTGCTATGCTCTTCTTTCATCCTAGACCCCATCAATCACATTTTTATTGTGTATATTGTGTGCTGTGATGTATACTTTCTACAGTATATAAATATGGAATATAACATACCTATTTACGATTTTGTTCTATTTTGCCAATGCAGGCCAATAAATAATGAGGACTCACTTTTGACTTGCTTAGGCCACCTGTTAAGTAGCTCCACTTTGTTAAAAGAGCTATGCAGTTAGCAGATATCAGATCAAGCTGGGGATGTCTAGGCTGTTCTCTGCACCAATCAGGAGTCTCTTGCCAAACTAGACCTGGACAAGGGAGGACATAAGATGTGAGTGGCAGTGGGACATGGACAGAACGTTGTTGCCAACAATCGCTAGTCACATATACTGAACTTCTTCCCTTGGAATCGGGGAAGGTACAGTTTGGTGGACATCTGTGTGGAAGATGCATTTTACTACCAAACAAGGTAAAGAAACTGCAAGCTAAGAGGTGAAGATGAGGTGGTTGGCCACAACACACTCATTCTTCAGAGTGAAAGAAGCAAGAAGTTTTTCAAATTCCCCCATCGGACAGATTCGAAGCATGAGCATTTTGGACTAAGCGAGGACATAATGTTACGTTCTGAGCATTGGAAGAAACCACAATTAAATATAAGGGCAAATATCTCATATCTAAGTCTTTTTATATTTGACAGATTTACTATTCCTTTTAATTATCTGCTAGGTAGAAACTGTCTTTGATATTCACTATTCATTTTAGAGAAAAAAACTGTCTGGTGGGGTCTTTTTATTGTTCAAAAACCAGCATTACCAACCTAAGCTGCTGTGTCTTTGTTAGTTT